CCCGCCCCGCCCCGCCCCCGACTCCCTTGAGGGCCCCACTCTCATCCCCGCACGTGATGACGTACGACGTAGCGACGCCCTCGGGTAGCCATCTTCGTGAGGTCCAGAGGAGGGTGATTCTATTTCTGGGATGGGAAATAGGTGTGACATTCAATTACGTAGACACTCCAAGATATGGCAAGTAGTTGCTTAACTTCACCTACTTGAGAGTGAGTCAGCTAATTTTTCACTGAGAATTACAATGAGCTTGTCATTGTAAATATTCTAGCGGAGAATGTAAATGTTCTAGCTGAGAAAGCTTTAGAAAGCCACATTTAAAACTTAAAGGCTAGTAGTTTTTCTGACTTTTGTTTTTTTCCTAAATGTATCTCTATACTACCCACTATAATGTCTTCTCCTCATTCAGACTATAGTAAGATTGGAAGGAAGCATGGGAGCATTTAGTGTATGAGGTATTTGGGAGATTTAGTGATTGGTGGAACCAGAGAGGGGCTGGAGTAAATTGTCGGGTACAGCTGGAGAGAGGAAAACAATAAATCATCAAGTCTTGATATAGAGCCTAGATTTTATTGTCTAAGCAATGGAAGCCTCTGAAAGATGTTAATCAGAAAAGTGACATTCAGGTGTCTTGGAAAAGTCACTCTGGGAGGAGGTGCAAACTGGATTACAGGACAGCAAAACTGGATGCAGGAAGAGTAGTTAGGAACTAGATGAAAAGTCCAGGTGAAATTCTAGGCAAGTAGTCTAGGTGATGAGAAGAGAGAAAGTACAGACGATGATAGAAAAGATTAAAGAAGGAAAGTATGAGAAAGAACAATAAAAAATGGCTCCAAGAGTTGTGACTCTTCCTGTACCATTAACCAACATAGCGAAATACTGTACAGAGAAATATGTTTGCTAAATGGAGACCAAAGGTCACCCAGATTAAGATAAAGATGGCTAGATACCTCACACCGTACCCATTCCCACATCTTAAAATATCTTTAAGCTATTCCACCTCATGAGTTTGTCACCTAAAGTTCAGTGCATCAAAAAAATGAATTCATCATATTTTTCAGCTGAACTGTCATTAGCCATAACATTCTCCAGGCCATTCTTCATATCAACCTGGGAATCATCTTAAACTCCACTATCACTATATATATATGAATCGTCTAACAAACACTATTGTTGAATTTTGTTCCTTGCAACATCCCCAATTTGTACCCTTCCACTTGTTCTCCAGTAGTAACATAGAGATAGTGCCCAGTTCAAATGCCACGTAATTCAGAGTTCCTTAGCTGATTACAATACCATCCCGTCCAGTCCATACATTAGTTCATTCAAAAAAATGGGAATACAGGCTATGTGCCAGAAATCAAGCAAGCATTGGAGAGGCAGTGGCAAAAAATAAAAATAAAAAATAAAAAATACACCATGCTGTCAGAAATGAAGAACATAAAGAATATCATGAATGTTGTAGTGGGGAAGTATATAGTTCTGTATTATGGATAAATGTGACCTAGACATTTAGGTGTATTCCCCAAGAAAGTGATAGAGTTGAGGGCTGAATAAGGTGATCTGAGAGAAAAACATTCTAACTAGGCAATGATCCCTTAGTAAGTAGGAGCCTGGCAAGTATGAGGGACTACAGGAAGTTCAGTATGAGCAGAAGCAAGGGGAAATAATCAAAGCTGTATTTCACAAAAATGCCTGCAGGGTGTGGAACAGGTGAAAGAGGGAGAAGCAGAGTGAAATGGTTGGAAGTAAGCTTTCTTAGGAAACTTGCAGTCGACCAGCCAAGAGATGACAATTGTCCATACCAGAGTGGAAGTGATGGTGGAAATAATTAAATAGATTTAATAGATACATGAGAGCAGCTAGAAGAGAGACTATATGGCAGTGAGGGAAGAGTATATATCAAGAATGTATATACTGTATACATTGTATACAGAATGTATATATATATATATAGAATGTATATATCTGGACTGTGTATCAGGATGGGTAATGTGTGTAAAAACACATTGATTGGTAGGGATAGAAAGTATTAATTAGCCTCATACTTCTTATATTTGAGGTACATTAGAAACATCCTGAAAAGGTCAAATGGAACAACTCAAAGAAGTATAAGCAGGAGACATAAATTCACATGTCAATTGCATTTAGACCAAGTGTCTAATGGAAGAGTCCCTAGAATGGTAACAGGGAAAAAGGTGGCTATAGTGTCATGGAGAACAATGAACAGAAATGTGTGGAGTAGTTAACAGTATTGAATGGTGTTCAGAGGTTTAAATAAAACAAGAAATGAAAATGTCATTTCTGGCTTCTCAGCATTGGGTCCCAGATGACTTTAGCCAATGCTGTGTTGCTGGAGAATGAAGTTGATACAGAACTGAGTTTCAGATGTAGAAGTGGCATCTACACAAGCAGATGATTCTTTTTTTTTTTTTGTACCAGGACTCAAACTCAGGACCTTGTGCTTGCCATGCATGGCACCTCTGTGCTACATCCCCAGCAGACGATTCTTTTTAAAAGGCTAGAGGTGAATGAGAGAAATATCTCATGGTAGCATGGGGAATGAAGTTTTGTTTTGTTTTAGAACCAGCCATGGTGCTGAAAGTCTGTAATCTCAGCTATGGAGGAAGTGGACATTGGAGGATCATGAATTTGAGGCCGGCCTGAGCAACTTATTGAAAAATAGTCTTGATGATGATGAGGATGATGATAGTGGTGGTGGTGATGGTGGTGATATATTTTTGGGTTGGTTTGGTTTTTTAGTGAGCAATACTTTGGGTAAGAGAGAAGGTGAGAGAGATTGACTGTATAAGAAAGAAGAAGTGATGAAGGAACAACAGATAATAATGATAGCAAACAAGGGAGGAAATGAATGCCAAAGTGTAAATGGGAGGTTTGGACATGGTGGATTAGACAACAGCAAAAACAGCTCTTCAGGATGAAAAATTGGAAGAGGAGGTAAGATAGAGTCCCATTCCAATTCTTCATCTCTGTATATGAATACAGCAGCATTCTATCTGAATTGTGCAAAGTAAATGCACATGAAATCAAAATTTACTGATTCTGTAGTTCATAACTCCTCTTCTAAAAAGGAAATTCCTAAATGTCATAAATCCAGTGAGCCAATCTTGAGTGGTTTTTTTTTTTTAAAGTCAACATCTTTTAAGTTTTCACAACTAATTAGAACAATCACTATCTTATTTTTGTTTTTCATATTTTTAATATTTTGTTTTAGAACAATTTTCATTATCCAGAAGTCATATTATGCTATATTCTATTACATAGTCTTAGTTAAGTAATGGATCTTTAAATAGCTAAGGTTAAAATAGAATATCAATCACATTTCCAGAATTTGTTTTAGTAGTGACACCATGACATTCCCCTAACATTTTTGTTAGTATATAAATAAAGCCAGTCGTTAGTTTAAAGCTATTGTTTAAAAAAAGCAAGCTGACACTTGCTAGACAATTATATTCTACTTCTAATTACTACTGCAGCACATGGTTCTTGAAGTGTGGTTTGTGGCACCCACTAAGATTTTTAAGTTTTCTATGATCAATTTTAGGTAGAAACTCGATTTTTTTCTTAAAACAGTGTACACTAAGATTCAATGAAATTCTACCTTACTCCAGAAAGAATGGCCAAAATCAAGAAATAAAATACTAACAAATGCTTGTGAGGCTCCGGAGGAAAAGGAATCCTTCTGAATTGTTGGTAAGACTGTAAACTTGTACAATCACTATAGAAATCAACATGGAGATTCCTCAAAAAACTGAAACTAGAAATTCCATTTGACCCAACTATACCTATTCCCCTTCCCAAAAGAGTTACAGACATATTACTGCAATACATGCATACCGTGTTTATAGCAGTTCAAGTTATAACAGCTCAATCTTGGAAGCAGCCTGTATTTCCACCAACAGATAAACAGATGAAGAAAATGTAGTATTTACAAACAATGGAGTATTAAGCTGCCATAAAGAAAGAAAATCTTGAGTCATTTGTGGGAAAAGGGATGCACCTTGAGACCATAATGTGAAATAAATCAGACAAGTTTAAATCCCAAGAGAAATCCAAATTATAAATAAATAATTAAATGAAAAATAAATGATAAGAAGAAGGGAGATCTTTCTCAAATGGGAAGGGGATCGACAGATGGAGGGAAGGAGAGGGAATGGGGATGAAAAATTGAATTGAGATGTGTTATATACATGAACCAACTCCATGCAAGGAATGTAAGTTTGATGTACTACAAACATATACATTAAAAAAGTTTTTAAAAAAAGTCAGTGAACATTTGAGTGCCTTTCCAAAGAATGCTACCCTTTTAATTAGTTGAGGTGAGCCAAAGATGCACCTGTATGCTTGTGAGTTCCTTTTTCCTGCTAAATAGGATGAGCAAAATAAGTTTTAAGGATGATGTTACAAATAGCAGCTGCTCTAGAATGAAGGAAAATAACAAAAATAAATGCTAAACCTATCATATCAAAATACATGCA